TCCGCCTCTGCAGCTGCAATGGCGTGCCTTGCGGACTCCTCCTGCAGAATGCAAACTTCCATCTGCGTCTTGAAAAGGAGTAGCGTGGTCGACGCATGGGCCTCCCGCTCCTGAGCCCACTTCAGACTGAGCTTCTGCACCTTCTGATAAAGTCGGTCCGTGACCACACGGTGTTGCTCGCGCTCCAGCGACAACAGCTGGGCGTGGCGTGGCCCGCAGTCCCGCGCCCGTGGACGGACCCCCATCGTCAACGCATGCGACGCCACCCGCAGCCCGCTGCCGTCCGCCTCCTCCCGCCCGTCAGCCCCCCACGTGTCGCGCCGCGGCGTCGGCGGTCGCTCCGTCAAAACGGAGTGCGACAACAACTCGGATGAAAATGGCATCCGCGACGCCGCACGGCTCCGCACGGCTCCGCCACCACCACCGCCGCTGGCGAGCGGCAGTGGCATGGTGGCCGCAAACCCCTTGCATTCCATTGTTGACATCGCACCGCTTCCCCCCGCCGTGGCGCAGCGCCGTGTGTGCGGTGACGACAGCACGGCACGTGTGCGCCTCGTTGTCGCTGAGGCCGCCGCCACCGCCCGTGGCTCCCCTCGCGGGAAACGGCCCCCGCACGACATTTGGCACAATTCACCCAATGAGGACGCCATCAACCCCACATATGCGCCCACTCCCCTCTTTTCTTCTCCCTCACTTCTATTTGCTCTGAAGGCAATAATAAAAAATAATAAAAAAAAGGGAAACAAATAAAGGCCGCAAAAAAAAAATAATAATAATTTTGCGAGCAAAGCGGGATGGTCATCCAAGCCACACGGAATCCCAAGACTCCACGGGCAGAAAAAGACAAATTTAAAAAAAGACAGAAGGAAAGAGTGAGGGAGAATGTGTGTGTGTGCGTGTTGTCAGCCACCCCTCCCCATCAAGAAAAGATACGGCTCTCATCGTTGGCAATGAACCCTGCGTCACCAACCAATATCGCATTGCCGTGAACATGGAAAACGCATCACGCAAAGGCACTGCTGCCTGAGACAAAGAATAAAAGTCCAGTGGCTTTTCATTGGAATGACGATACATTTTTGAAACTCCCTACGGCGGGAGGGTGTCATTGCTGCTAACGATAATGCACAGGACCAAATTAAAACCAAATATATATATATATATCATTTTAACTCTCGCCAGTCCACACACACATGACAACTGCACCCTCCTCCCTCCTGCCTTTTCTCTCGTTCCTTCTCGCTCCATTTCCCACTGAGCCCAAGCAATATATATATATATATATAAGTGTATATGAGGGAACATGAAGGTAGCAAAATCCAGAAAGAAAAAAAAAAGCATTAATGCCACATGGTCAAGCCGCAGCGTTGCATCTTTCCCCATCCTTGTCCTCACATTCACTCCTCAGCCCCATCATCGTCTCTTCTTCCTTTTCCTCTTCTTCTTCCTCTTCTTCCTTGTCTTGTTCGTATTCCTCGTCTTGGAAGCATCTCTCTGGAGTCAGCTGGTGCCGTGACGCCCACACGGCAAACTCTGTGAAGTACATTGCGCCCCCTTCTTTACATCTTCCGCTAATCGTCGCAAACGCCGCCGCCATGTCGTCAACGCAAAACCCCCAACTCCTCAATAGCGGTGTAGCCGCCAAAAACGCCTCCAATGGCACCTCCTTCTTCGCTGGGTTCGGACCATTCATGCAGAGAGTGTCAAACATGTGGTATAGCTCAAAGTAAGTGTACACGTACCAGAGGAACGCGCGGAACTCCGCGGCCGTAATGAACTGCTCGTTGCCGTCGGTAAGGTACACCACGCTCCTCTGCGGAAATGTCACCGTCTTCGTGGCAAAAAAGGCGCGAAAAACAACCGGCTGCAAGTCCTCGCGGAACTCATGCAGGGCGAGCAGCTCCACCATTCCGCGGTACAGGTCACACAAGGTAAGAATCCCCCGACCCTGCACGTCCATGAGCGTAAAAAGATGCTGACGCTTCCCGCGCTGCTCCGTCGAGTCATCGCTGGGAAGTCGTTCACGCAGGCGGCACCACACGGACTCTGACCGACGCCTTTCCGCTGCCTTTTCACAAAACTGCTGAAATGCGGAGGCAACGGTGGCACGAGCCACAAAAGAAGCCACAGAACGGGCCATGTGTGACGTGGTGCGTGGCACCGCCCCGCTGTCCAAAATATCGCCCAACAATGTCTCCTCGTCCAGGCCTCTGCTCCTCACAATTTCTTGCAGAGCAGAGCGGATTGTGTCATCTTCCCATGGCGCATGCATCCATGCGAGTAAATCTTGATTTTTTGAGTGCCACATCTTTCCCGCATCGCCTTCCTCCTGCAGCGCCGCTACTGCTGGGTTGCCTGTGGCAGCAGCCCTCATCTCAGCCATGCACTCCACTTCAAGAAAGACGTCCAGGTAAGTGTGGATGAATAACAGCAATAAACAGAGGTCCCTTTGGTGTATTCGGCGATCCTGCAGGTCCAAACGCTGCAAAACATCGTTGGTTTCTCGCACACAAAACAACACGAAGCCGCTTCCAAGCTCCAGTGGCCAAACCCGCCAGAGTTTGTAGCGTGTGGAACACAGCTCCATGAGGGCGCCAATCGGTATGTGGTGGTCGGCCGTACCGAATTCACTCGTGAGCTCTCGACGTTTTTTCCTGTCGCCAGCCGTGGCCCTCACTGGAATCATTTCTCGCACGCTGTGCATCCAGACGTGCATCCGGGCCCCAGCAAAACCCCAGGTTGCCCCCCGAAGTGCAAACCAGCCTGCCAAGTCCGGCAGCGAGACAGCATCCTCGTGTTTGGCTGCAAACTGCTTAAGCTCCGTCGCAAGAACCCCGTCCATGGCGTCCCCAAGTTCACGCAGCACCCATTCCCGCATTTTGTCCCATGTTATCGCTGCACCATCGAATACATGGCCATTGTGGGGCACCCCAAACGAGATCAATACGTGCATGTATCGCAAAACATACCGCAGAAATGCAGGAAGTTCTTCCACAGTGAGGTTGAAAGTGTTGGGATCGCCTACAACGCACACAGCTTTGCAGCATAGGGCCCGAAACTCCGACGACGACATTATGGGCAGAACATCAGAGGCATACTGCGCGTAGAGTTTATCACAGAAAGAATGCGATCCATCTATTTCTCCCTCTGAAGCAAAGTCCGTCTTGTATTCCTGTTGAATGACACTTTGAAAGAATGCATGCAGCCGCGCATCGCCGTTGCTCACAGGCCATGTGGATTGTAAACGCCGCCATGCCTCATCTTTCCAACATTGCATTCGATCCGCCACATAGTACGATGAAACATACTGCACCAAAGACAGGACTGTTTCATACTCCATCTCCGGTCCGTCCATTTCACCTTGTTCCTTGCCCCCCTCAGTTGTTCTCGCTGGCGCCTCGCCAAAACCCTGGAGCCCAAGAGTGACGGTCGACACACGCAGAACATTAGAACGAGCCTGCATCGGCACAGGTGTTTCGGCACTCCATGCATGTTTGTTAAAACCCGTAAAAAAACCGGAATCGTCCTGTAAAAACGTTTCCTCTAACGCTCTCACGGCGACCATGGCGCCATACACACCGTGTAGTAAACGTCTCAAGTGGATATCTGCAAGGATGCTGTTCCCATCCGCGCTGTAAGAATCCCTTCCATCCCCCTTCTCTCCTGAAGACGCGGATAATCGCTCCCACATCTCCCACTCCGTCACCCACTGGCTGTAGACGCAGGCGCATGCAACTTCATCCGCGTGGCTGTAACTCGGCAAGTCCACCTCCACCCTCAAAGCGTTAAACATCGCCGCCGTCTCGTTGGATTCCCACCCATGAGCCACAAGCAAGGAAAGAAGAGATGCCCGTCTGCTTCGATCGCAAAGCCCAAGCGCATGAAGCAACTCAGAAATATCCTTCAATTCCCTCCTCTCCCCCATCCGCACAAGGCGCGCTGTCCATGCACTCGCAACCTGAAGAAAAGAAACTTGCCTGGAGTCGTCGTATTCACCAAAGAGGGAACGCACAACTTGGACGGCGCAGTCGTCGTTGCTGCCATCGCTGTCGCTGCACACCGCCTTAAGCACATGCTTCAGAAACTCCCTGTCCAAATCAGGAGCGGGTGACCCATACAAGGGGTCTTTACCGCAAGACATGCCCTCATGCCTCATCACCTGATGGTAAAGCTCCAGCACCGCGATGTACGCCTGTAAGAACAGTCTAAAAGGAGGTATGGCTTTGATGCATGAAGGATCGTCCCCCCATTCCTTCACCGCCGCACGGAACGCCAACTGCACAAGCGTATCGTGAACCGATCGATTCTCAAAACACTCCTCCATTGCAAAGTGCTCGTACATTCCCGTTTTGGCATCTGCCTCCGAAAGCCTTTGCGTTCCACGAGTGATGGCATCAAAGAAAGCCGTCAGCTCCAAAACGTCCCCGAGCACACGCCTCAGCAACAACCTCTTTTGCAAAAACAATTCGTTCCAACTTTGTTTTGCCTCCTCCAATTCCCCCACCTCCCTTTCCCGCAAGGAAGAGGCAGAAGCAGCAACCTCCTCTTCCTTCTCCTCTTCCTTCTCCTCTTCCTTCTCATCTTCCTTCTCCTCTTCCTTCTCCTCTTCCTTCTCCTCTTCCTTCTCCTCTTCCTTCTCCTCTTCCTTCTCCCTCTTCTTTGGCGTCGCCGGGGCAGAGGGCGTCCATTCAGAAGAGAGCGACATCACATGCCGCAGGACCAGCCAACGCACCAAAGTCACAAGTGGAACAACACGTGTAGGCGCACCGCCGTCGTCCCCTTCTCCGACACTCAAGGAATGACGGGACCACCGCGAGACCTGCTCCAACACAGCAGCTGCCGAGGCGGATGCGGGAGGCTGGAAGGCTGAACCAGGTCCTTTACTCGACGCAAAGGCGGATGCAAACTCTGTTTTCAATGCATTTAAACACTTTGTGAGGCTCAGAGCTGTAACACTTTTCCTCTCCCAGCCTCCATTCGCCAACAATTTGAACTTCTCGAAGACGCCCATCACACGATAGAATTCGCACATGCACAACAGCCACGGTCGATAGTCACATCGCCGCAGGACAACGGTAAACCCGGCAGAAAAGACACTGTTGAAACGGCAGATGTCCTCTGCGGCGTCCCGGAGAAGTTGCTCATTGTACGCATGAACCGAAGAAAGCTGCCATGTCTCGTGGGCAAATATCTGAAGTTGCTCGACCGTAGCGCAGACCGCCCCAGTGGCGTCCCAACACTTCCCTCTATTCATGGCCAATATTCTCCTAAATTCCGAGTTCCGCCTCGACAACGCAGCGGCATCTTCGGTGCTTGTTGGCGTCACACCGAGTCGTCGGAGCATCTCCATGTAAACCAGACCACATGTATCTTCCTTCGAACCACAGCACCCCATGAAAAGAGCTCTCACTGATGGGAAAGAACCCTGCCTCAACCACGCAATAAACAACAGTCCACGACAACAGCAACAAAAAAAAAAAAAACAGTAAAAATAAGAATAGGGACACAAAAACAGGAAACGACCCAACAACAAAAAGAAGCACAATCCACCCTCTACGCCCTCAGCCACAAAAATGAAAAAAATGGTAACGATAAAAAAATCCTAAAGAAACGCACAAAAAGAAAAATAAGAAAAAATCAAGCCCTCTCCGGCACGTTGTCCGGGTCGCCGTCGGCGTCCAGTTTGACTGCAGAAGCCCACGCAGCAAACTCGTCGAACGTCACGGACCCAGTGCCGTTCTTATCGATCTCCTTGAACAGCGCCGCGGGATCCTCGACCTTGGCGCCCCACGCCTCAAGCTTGGGCACGGCGCGCTTGAGCTCCTCCTCGTCGACCAGCATGTTGCCGGAGGCGTCAATCTCGTCGAACATCACCGTCAGCTCGAAGAAGTCGTAGATGTAGCACAGCATCAGACGGAACTCCAGAAATTCAACAAAGTCCTCGGAGCCCTTGTTCTCCAGCTTGCTGCCCAGGACCCTCGCCTTGTCGAACGCACGCTTCGTGATGTCGCGCACTCGCGGCGTGAACTCGTCCAACTTCAGCACCTCGAGGCAGCCGCTGTGCACCTCATCGTAGCACAGCTTCCCAGTCTCGTTCTTGTCGAACTTCTTGAATAGCTCGATGCGGCGCTGTTTTGCCTCGGCGGTCTTCTCACGAGGAATCGCCTGGCGAATGCGCTCCCACGCTTCCTTGCGGTCCTTGGCGTTCTTGCCGTCCTTATCGCTCGCCAACCCCTTGTCGCTCGTCGAGCCCTTCGACCCACAAGCACCCATCTCGTTGCTCTCCTTGACTCGGCTTATTATCGACTGTTGCACAACCTGCGCGCAAGCACACAAACCCACAACAGAAAGAGAGAGGTGGCACCAAGGCCCACAGCGGCACAGAAGACACACAGCAACAAGGGCACAGGAGCCCACACACACACACACACACAACGACAGTAGAAAGTAAAAATGACCATCAACTACATAAAGTGGAAAATGTGCTCCGCCCAGCAAAAACAAGTGCCTCGCCGCATGCGGACACGGTGTTTACATTGGCAACGGCGCGGGCACGTCACTCTGCGGCCGCGAGCTTCACGCGCTCTCCGGCACGTTGTCCGGGTCGCCGTCGGCGTCCAGTTTGACTGCAGAAGCCCACGCAGCAAACTCGTCGAACGTCACGGACCCAGTGCCGTTCTTATCGAGCTCCTTGAACAGCGCCGCGGGATCCTCGACCTTGGCGCCCCACGCCTCAAGCTTGGGCACGGCGCGCTTGAGCTCCTCCTCGTCGACCAGCATGTTGCCGGAGGCGTCAATCTCGTCGAACATCACCGTCAGCTCGAAGAAGTCGTAGATGTAGCACAGCATCAGACGGAACTCCAGAAATTCAACAAAGTCCTCGGAGCCCTTGTCTCCAGCTGCT